AATTCTCTCCTTTTTTTTTTTTTTTTAATTTCTAGGGGAATTCAGTTAATTCCAGCACTTATGAAAGAGAGCTAGAGAGTGGGTAGCTCTGCAGGCTTCCTCCACACAGCTGGACTCATGTCCTGACCTGCAGCCTCCCTGCTGCGCCAAATTGTGGTCCCTTGACAGCTCTGCCAGTTCATGCGATTCCTGGCCTGCAGTGCTGCAGGCACCCAGGAGAGCAGCCATTCTTGTAAGCAGAGATGGCTCAATGATGGGTTTGGAGAGAGGTATCCACTGGAGATTGAGATAAGGTCACCTGCTTATTTCATACCTGAGCCACTGAATCACTGTCAAAAGGTCACCATCTACCTGCTCTGTATTTGAAGTGGTGACGCAGAGGTGGGGAGAGTCCCCTGCCTCTGTTGCCAGATCCCTGGCCCCATCTGGTCCTCCATGGTGGCCTGACCCTGCCTTCCTGTTACACACTCAGCCCCTTCCCACAGAGTGTAAATGTTCTGAGTACTCACAGCTCCCAGTGATATGAATAGGAACTGGGGGTGCTGCAGCCCTTTGGAAATCAGAGATGGATTTAGGGACCTCCCTTCAGGCATCTACTGCTGGAAAATTGGGCCTTTTTCCTTTTTCCTTTCCTCTTTTAAAAGTTTAACCTTTATTTAACTCCGACTAACTTTGGGTAAAGGAAGCCCATCAATTACAATTCCATAGCTCACAACAAACACCAGAAGATAAGTGATGTCTGAATTTAAGATCAGAAAACAAACCCTTTAATTTTTTTTTTTTTTAAGAAGTTTCATTCTTCTGTATACATTTTAAAGAAGCCTAAAAGGGCTCAGGGCCATTTTTTTTCCTTTCCCCTTTCCATCTCCCCATTCAAGGCTCTGGGATCCCACTCTTCTTCAGCATTCAGCTGGGTCTGTGCCTTCTCTCTGTTTATTCAGCCACACAGTTCTGTTCCGGGCAAGCTGGGGAAGGGAATATTTTCTGTTGCTTTGTGGTGCTGTGTTTGTTCCAACTACAGTAGTCTTGGTTAAAGGGCGGTTCGGGGGCTGATACGCGATCTGCCTCCCGCGTTTGCCTGCGTGCATTCTTTTCACATGACATCTTTCCCCCATTATTTTGTATCTGAGCGCGTTGGGGCTATGCCAGGACATTTTCTTCCCTTTTTTTTACTCACTGCACCCTGATTGTCTGAACAGCAGAATCAATCAAACTCCAACATGAAAACATGGGGTGGGTTGGGGGAGGGGAAAGAAGACTGTTGGAAAAGAGTGGTGTTAAAATAAATTGACCCTTTAATCTAGAGGTCATCAGCAACCCCTTGCATCGCTCCCCAGATGAAAAATCACATCTGTGGGGTTAGATCGGCAAACTGCAGTCTAGTGTCAAAGGTTGGTTAGATTTATGGGTTTTAATATTTGCACTATTGATTGCCAGGCTGTCTCAGGGGTTGTTGCAACAAGCACAATTACTGCACTTTTGACAGAGGTAGTGATTTTGAAGATGTCAGAGTGGTGGAGAGGAGGAGGGTAGTCCTGGGAAAGAGGTTTAGAAGCAATAATAAACTGTGGCACACCGCATCTGGAATTCTTTCCCCCTTTCCATTCTCTAGCTTTCTCTCCTACCCTTTCTCCCATCCCCATAGCTTGGCCTCATGCAGATTGGACATAATACATGAATCATGACCTGAAGTGCCCATGTAAGTCCAGTCCTGCCCCAACTCCTTCTTCCTATCAGCCTGGGGACGCACCTCAGTAAAACAGGTCAGGTCTGCTGTTGCCATCTTGGACCTTTCATGAGTGGGTGTATCAGATCTCACACACTCACGCACGCACACCCCAACCAACCAACCAGCAAATATCTCCAAAGGCTGGTGGTGGAATTACTACAGAGAATTCTTTCCCAGGTGTCTGGCTGGTGGGTCTTGCCCATGTGCTCAAAGTCTAACTGATTGCCATATTTGGGGTCAGGAAGGAATTTCTCCCAGGTCAGATTGGCAGAGACCCCGGGGGTTTCACATTCCTCTGCAGCATTAGGCACGGGTCACTTGCTGGTTTGAACTAGAGCAAATGGTGGATTCTCTGAAACTTGAGGTCTTTAAATCATGGTTTGAGGACTTCTGTAACTCAGCCAGAGGTTAGGGGTCTATTACAGGAGTGGGTGGGTGAAGTTCTGTGGCCTGCGATGTGCAGAAGTTCAGACTAGATGATGATGGTCCCATTTGGCCTTAAATTCTATGAGTATCAGAAATAAGGTTAGAGACCACTTGATTCTAGGATCGTATTTCTCCCATCACAACATACAGGTAACTTCCACTGGGAGTGAATTCAATGGGATTTACTCATGACTCCAGTCTTCAGAGGTGAAAGGTGAACTTCCATTTCTGGACATGCATTGTGCTAATAGTTACTAGATTTAGTTACAAGTTTCCCTCCAGCAGTGCCCTCTGTGCATTGGCAGAGGTTTGTGTAAATGCTTGTATTAGCTCAGTGTTTACGACAGGCTGAATCTCTTTTGTGTCTGTGCTACACTAGCTTTTAACATCAAGAAGCTCCTAAAATAGCACAAGAGGTTGGGTTTTCTACAATGATTTCAGCAAAAATTTGGTAACGGGAGCCTCTTCTGGGTTCAGATTCCAGCCAAAGCACTGGTTGAGCCTGTAGCTTTGAAGGAGAAAAGTGTCTCTCGTGCAGTTGGAGAACAGACCCAAAAGCAAGAACCTTGCTGGAATTCCCTCAATTGGCTGAGCTGAGCTTCCCTTAGGAAATAAAAGGCAAACCAAGCACACACACTTGTCATCTGAAATGTGCTGATATGTGAAGAGCATTGGGCAGAGGGAGTGTCTGTGGCTGCACAATAAAAACCCCTGCAGCTGATGGGGGGGTGGGGGGGAGACCTGGCCTGCCTGTATTGGCAGGAAATGTGATGGGTGAGAGGGATCAGGGAAATGGGGGAAGTTTGGGGCTCCAACACTCCATGGAAAGGAAAGGATGGAACACCAGGAGTCTGTGGGAACTGACCGGTGATGGTGCCATTTGTAAGTCCTGAGCCCAGCATGGGCACATGGGGATTCCAAAGCAGGGGGCGTGTTGTGCCCCACCCCTTCTCCATGCCTCTCTGATCTCCAGTGCCCAACTTCAGTACAAAGTGACGAACTGGCTTTGGTTTTGTCCTCCATTTAGGCTGTCATTGTCAAGTCCCTGGACTGACTAGTCACGGCAGGGAGTGAACCACCATCTTCTCACAACGCAGGAGCTCCTAGCCAGGCTCCCTGTCACCGGGAGGCACTCAGCCAGCTTGGAGCTGCCCCTAGGGTTTTACTTCACAGTATTTTTCTTTTCTTCTTCCTCTTATATAAATGGTCTCTGCAGTCGGGCTAAGGCAGAATCCCAGATGCTGAGAGGGTTTGGGATGGTGGTGCCTTTAACCTGAATTCTCTCTTGGCTTCTTTGAATGGGACAGTGGAGACTTTTTCATCCACTTCCCAAAGAGTTTGTGGGATGACTCCTTTAGGGACTAAAATCCTTGTGTCAATCTCTTCCAAAACCAATGGATGAAATTTTGTCCATTGATATTCCAACCCCTAATGATAAATGGCTGTCCCTCTCATTGAGAGACCTGTCATAGAATTCTGGACAGAGGGATGGTCATCGTGAACCAGTGGTCCATCTAACCCATCTATCCCCAGGAGTGGCCAGCACCAGATGCATCAGAGGAAGGTGCAAGAAAGCTCACAGGAGGCTGTTACGGGATAGTCTCCTCCTGGCCCCTGGTAGTTAGAGGTTGGCTTGTGCCCTGAAGCATGTCGGTTTTATCCCTTCCATGGTTCGTGGGTTTTGAAGGATTTTTTTTAATCTTTGCTTTTCTACTGCTGGCTGTTCTCACAAAAAAGCTGAGGGTTCTCTTTAGCCTATTGCAAATTCTTTGTGGGAAGCGAGATTCTTGCCAATGCCATTTAAGAAGGACAGTGAAAAATGGAGAGACTCCACCAACCATGTGAATGTGGAGTTATGCGCAGAATACAGTGTCTCAAGGTTGTCACTGTACACTAACCTGTAACTCTGGCTGGGGAGATACTATGCTGACTGTGCCACATACCTACTTTTAGCTCACAAATAGCATCAAGAACAACTTTTTGAGTTGTCTGACTCCCTTCCTCTCTTTCTGTCTTTGGGGCTCTATTCTGCTGCTCATCATCGTAGTATCAGAATGCCTCCCTGTGCTAGGGCTTGTCTTCATGGACAGTGCTACAGCGACACAGCTGCTCCCCAAGAGGCAGTAGTTATGCTGACGGGAGAAGCCCTCCCGTTGACATAGTGCTGTCTACATGGCGGGAGGAGGTCACTCCGAGGTATGGATTTTTGACACCCCTGAGCGACATAGTTATACCAGTATAGGTCTGTGGTGGAGACTTGGCCTTGGGTTGGCAACAGCGAAGTCCCTGGGGGAATTCATGGCCTCTCCTGCTCTTTTCTTGGGTCTCTGCTTGTGCGGGGCTGGGGAAGTGGGTGAAGCAGGGAAGTTGTTGCAGTGAATGTCTTTTTTTTTTTTTTCTCTTGCTTTTGTACCTTGGATGGAAGCTGCTGCTTCACCCCCCAAGGGTGTTTTGTTTTCCTTATTACTAGAGTATTGTGAACGGGAGCTGAACACACTTGAAGTCAAGGAAGGTTTGGAGCCAGGGTTTGGATTCTGGCCCATCTCTTAATGAATTAAGGCTAAGGCCCAGAACCACAAAGGTATATAGATGTCTAACTTCCACTGATTTCAGTGAAAGTTAGGCACCTAAATACCTTTGAGGGTCTGGGCTTAAGTCTCTCTGGAGCTACAACCTGTATTTTCCTCCTTAGCCTTTGTGTCCCAAGGCAGGCATGGTTGTAGTGAGGAGTGGTGAATGACCAGGGAATCTATCCAAATCCCCTTTGAAACACAAAGGCTTTCTAATAACTGAGGAAGAAGGCAAAGAAACGTATACCAAGGGCGCGTCACCTGGGGAAGTTTATACTTAGCTTCTCAGAAATATGCTGAGTGTCGTGGGAGTATAGCAGTGTGTGCAGCCCGGCTCATTGAGGATGGGGGAGGGCAGGGTTCAGGAAATCATTCCCCTCTCCCCGGCCCCAGGGAACATTTTGAAAATGGCTGTAGGGCTCCAAAGGCAAAGACAGTGCTCTGGAGAAGGACTTGGATGAGGCTGCTAGAGAAGCCATCTGTGGCAGGGGTCATGTAGGGTCATTGAGTAGGGGTGACTCTTTCCGAGGCTGAGAGCTCACCTCAGCCCTCCCTTCAGTTTGCAGCTGGGATTTCTCCAGCTTGTCACCGTCAACCAGATACTGTGTGTTCCTTAGGACCCAGCGTGGGTCCAAGATGTATCTAGCAGTTGAGTGGCCAGAATAGTCAAAGTGTGGATTAGGTAGTGTGATGGGTGACAAAGGCCATCAGGACCGAGAAGAGCCATCATGGTCTTAAATCCCCTGTGCCAACGTTTCACTAAAAAGGGGCGTTTGGACCCAGAGGAATCCTCTGAGGTGCTCTAGGGAGGAGGGCAGGGCATCTGGATCCAGTTTACTGGGGAATCTATTGAACGGCCGTACTGGGTTTGGGGAGTTTGCCTTCCATGCCTCGCAGGGAGAAGCTGTAAAATGTAGGTCCTTTTGTTGATGTTGTGTTATTACCCTGGTGAACTGAGGGCTTTATTTCTGCACTGGCTTGTCAATTAAGGTACCAGGCTTCAGGCTGCAAAGAGTTTCCCCGTCTTGACCCCAAACCTTTCTGTGCATCTCAGACCTCCCACACTTGAGTGCAAACTTGGTGAGATGCTCAGAACTGTCTTTCCCCTGGGTTGGAAGTAGAATCGAACCCCGTAACCTACTTTGTCTGGGTGTAGGTGACTGTATTTTTACAGCTCCAATGCTTATACCATCAGATAGGCTTTTAAGCCGCCTAAAACCTCTTTCACTCCTGCCCTTGACTGTGCCTCCACTTGGTACAAAAATGGTTTCAAAGTTTTTAAAACAATCTCTTTCTGTGTGCTCGCTTCTTCCCATTTGAAACCCAGGTCTGTGCTTCCCTTTCTTTGCTGAAGGAACTTAGGAAGATCTTAGGAAGACTCTGCTAGTGATGGCCTATGAGAATATAACCTGAGCTACAGCTCGCCTACCATTTGGCTTTGCCAAGCTCCTCCAGCACAGCAAGCGAATCGAGGACCTGATCATTCTAACTGTGACAAGCAGGGGTGAAAGTAAGTCGAGTGATTTACTGGTACGCTGCAGCCAGCTCTGGCCCCACGAAGGGACAGGGCTGAGGGGGGTCAGAGCCAGCCCACCCTGTAAGGTAAGTGCTCGCCCCCTTCTCCTTCTCCTCCTCCTCTTCCTCCCCAACCGGGGTAGTGTAGCAGCCAGGGGCTCCGGGGGCTATTTAAACAGCCCGGGGCTCCCCTTCTACTGTCCCAGTCCTTTAATTAGCTGCCGGAGCCCTGGGGAAGCGACGGGGCTCCAGCAGCTATCTAAAGGACCGGGGCGGCAGAGGCAGCTGAAGCCCCAGGCCCTTTAAATTGCCCCCTGGGGAAGCCGGGCTGCCCCAGTACGGTGCACTGGCTCTTGCCAGTACGCCGTACCAGGATGTACCGGCTTACTTTCACCTCTGGTGAGAAGCAAGCCGGCAAGAATGCGGCTTAAAACTCTGATGTGACCCTTGTACGTCGCACAGAAGCAGGAGAGGGTAGCAACGTTTATTTTTTCGCCTTTGCTGGCCACCCTTGAGTAAAGATTTGTCAGCGACTTCTGTTCAGAAAACAGCCTTTTTTGTTCACTTTTCTTGGATTTAACAAGGCTTCCAAATTCGTGCATCGCCAACTCCTCGCTGAAGCTGCCAGGAAATGCAGCCAGAAACAAGTATGTGCTGATTCTACCCACAGCAAAACTCTCTCTTTTTTTAGTTGGAAGAGGTTTTAAGTTGCCACCCATAAGCGCTTCTGTTATTTTTTGATCTTGCTGGTATTCAGTCCTATCGGGTGCTGAGTGCTCCGGCCCCGTCTAGCACAGCATGTAAGCGCATGCTTAACTTTAAGCACGTGCGAAGCCCTATTGATGTCCATGGGCTATAAGTGCTTTTCTGGGTTGGAGCTGGAGTGCACAGGTCCTTGCAGGATCAAACCCGTAGTGACTGATTCCCTCTGAGTGTAAATTCTTTGCCTCCTTCCCTGGATTATTCAGAGACGTTTCTGGCCACCTATCACTGTACCATTTTAAGCCCTAAGATGGGGTCACGTGCTCTGCCCGCAGCTAAACTCTCTCCTGCTAGGAATGACTCTTCATTGTAGTAGAATCCCTTCTTGCAAGAGGCATGAATCATAGTTTTAGAATGAGACCTGAGCAAGGGGTCAGGCATGGTTGCACTGCCCCGGCGCAGCCCAGGAGGGAGCCCTGACTTGCTGTGTTTCTCCTGGTCTCCCCACAGCAACAGGGAGAGAGTAACTGGTGCTGGATCTATAGTCTCAGCACCACTACACATGCTGGGGTGGAGCCACTTTCTGCACCTTCCGCGCGTTTGCAGGGGGCCAAGGGGGAAGTGCAGGATTTCCAGCACCAGCTTCCCCTTCAGTGCTGCTCCCCCGACGCAGGAACCCCCTTGTGTGCCCAATGGCACTGCCATAGCCAAGCTACAACTTTGCCCAGGATTAGAGTGTTAATACTGGGCGTGTTACTGGGCCCTCCTACACGTGCCCATGTAATGGTGAGGGCTGCTCCTCGTTCCTTCCAGCTCTCTGCAGTAGGAGCGCCTCGAGTGCGCTGCTGTGTGTGTGTGAGTCCGTCCATCCTCCGGGAGATCTACTCTACTGCCTGCTGAAGTACTAAGGGAGAGCTGCTCAGGATGCACCAAGGCAAACGCAGTCAGGGAGCGTGGTAGGTAGTAGTGCGTGGCTGTGTTGTGAAAATGTTGCCGGGTAGACCCAGCTCAGCCATGTTTGTTTCAGCTGGGTCAGGGGAGTGTCATGTATTGGTTACAAAAAGGCGTGTAACATGGGGAAGGGCCTTAATCTCTATTTTGCTTGGCCTTGGGCCTGAGCCATGTGTTAACCTTGATGCTTCCACCCTGCAAAAGCCCTTGGCTGTGGCATAGAGGCACCATTCATGTTCCTGAACTGTCGGCTTTTCAGGGACTGCCTCTTTATTATAAGTATATGGTGTCTAGCATCATGGGGCCCTGATCCAGGACTGGGGCCCCCAAGTGCTCCTGCAACAAAAGTAATAAATAATAACATTCAAGGCAAGGTCCCCCAGCAGATCTCTCTGCCCCCCACATGGTAGGAATTGCAATATAGATAGGGCCTCAGTGGAGAGCAAATGTATGGGGGAGGAAGAGCAACCGAAGATTAGGAACTGGGCCAATTGTTTAGCCCTCTCCTTGTAACTACTGGGAAATGAGGAGGCTGAAGGCTTATTGCTGATGAATGCAAAGTAGCAATTTCTAATCATCTGCCTCGGAAGAGTCAAGTACAAGCAAATATTAGGGTTGTGTATATTGCTCGTATGTAAACATATATGCTAATTAGGTGCAGCCTTTGGGCTGCTGTCAAGTTGCCAGGGCCACTCTGTGTTCCTCTGATTTAGGGAGTGCTTGCAGTATTTCCCTCTCCCCTTCAATTAGACCAAACCCAAATGCTGGCTGGAGTCGGATTTGTAAATTTCAGTTTCTACTGGAGCTGCAGAAGCTGTGACTGTGGCTTTGTAACAACCGCTCTGAAAACAGACTCCCTAAACTTTAATCGGCCGCCCTCCCAATAACCCCCTTGCTGTCCCCGAGAATTGAAGCACGTTTTCTTTATCTGCTCCTAAGCAGGATTTATTATCCCCAGGACTTCCTGTGCTTTCTTTCAACATGCTCCATTTCTTTTCGAGAACAATAAATCAAAACTGTTTGTTTCATTTTCCTGCCATGGCCTCTCTCTGCAGTAATTGCACTCGTGTAACAGCACTGGGACAGCCTGGCTCTCTGCAGAGCTTCAGTCTGCTGCACGTGGGGAATCTCTCCCTGTCTGTGTTGAAGGTGGGCGGGGGGCAGGGAGGAGTGAAAAATTCAACCCTCCCCCCCCGACCCCTAACCAATTTTCCATCCAAATGGATCCCTTGTTTACCATTGAAATAAACCTGAGTCAAGTATGGAAATTTCAGCAGATCTCACCTAGGGGTTGCCACCCCATGAAAACCCAGTTGGGTGGCAACCCCTAGGTGAGATCTGCTGAACTTTGACCAGATCCTGGATGTCTTGGTTGGGGATTTAAGGAACCTCTAAGGCCCATAAAGGGCGTGCAGTGGACACAGACTGGAACCACTCCTCTGCAAACGAGTGCCCTGCACTGGCTGGCTGGATCAATGAACCCCGGGGTGTGGGCTTTGCCAGCCAAAACCCAACCACGGACAGTTAACCAAACAGCCCTGGCCTGGCCTCTGTAAAAAGGAGCTACAAAAGGAAACAGGGGAAAACATGCGAAGTGTCACTTTCTGAACACTGTTCTGATTTACAAACACTCCGTGTGCTCTGAGCAGCCAGAATGAGCCCAGCTTTTTTTGGGGAATGGGGGGATTCTTTCTTTTGAAACGGAGGAGCCATTTAAATGTCTTTCAATGTCAAGAGAAAGTGAGACCCTGTACAGAATACACTGGGATAGGGTCCTTGCTGCGTGGAACTTGGTTTAAACAAGACGGCACAATTGACGCAAATGGCTCTTCGGCCAAAGGGAGGTGATTCAGGTTACTTGGTGCCATAAGTTTGTAGAGAGTTTGTCTCTCTTTCTAGAGAGCTGGCCCCTGCCCCAAGGAGCCTGCAGGCCAAGTGATCTGAATGTAGCTGAGTTAATGTTGGTGGGAGAAGGGTGGATTTGTGTGACGAGCCCATGGCAACCTTGCAGCAGCTGGGCTGAGGGGGAACTCCCAAAGCCAGAGGAAGCATGAAAGGAAGAAGGAGGATCCAGAGGGTATGGTGAAGCAGGAAGAGGGCAGGGAGGGGAACTGGGAAGAAATGGGAGCAAGGATGTATAAATGAGGCCAGGTCTACACTACACACTTTGGGATAGCAATGTCTCTCGGGTGTGAAAAATCCCACCCCGAGCGACATAGTTATTACGCCGACGTGATAGATGGAGTCTTCACCAGAATCGCTACAGTGGTGCAGCTGCATCAGGGCACCTGCTCCAATGCAAGTTTGTAGTGTAGACCTGCTCTGTGCTGGCCTGCGCATGACCGTGAAGGAGTTGTCTGCTGATCTGCTGAGTGATCTGCTCTTATTATGCTCAGGAAAACCCACTCGTGACTCATGGAAAATACTTCATGGGTAGAGACAACTCTGTCTGTCAAATTTTCCATCTTTTGTCCTTTATAATTTTTTTTTCTTCTAGGGATGTTAGAATGAAAACGTCCAGGATCCTTGACCTCCAGAGCCTATTTACTCATTCTCTACCTCAAGGCATTGCTCTGTCTGGAATGTTTGCTATGGAAATTATGATGCCACTAATGGAGGATTACACTTTTGGGTGGGGAATGAGCTGACTGGATTTTTAGAGGCTGTTTCTGAATTCAGCCCTGAAACTGCAGAGGGAATCTGGCATGTTTCCGTCTTGCCCGTGCAGCTTTTCATACCCGCGTATCAGCATGTACAAAACCTTGCACTATGCGTACACAAGTGTATTGGTGGACGTGTGCCCGGCTGTGGTTTGTATGGGCTAGGGTGAGCGTTCACAGGAACCCAAGCATGGCTATGCAAAACCAGAGTGCAAAATTGCATTTGCAATTCTAGCGGCTCAAAAGAGGCCCCTTTGGAAATATTACTCAGACCAATGCGCTGTTAGCCTGTTTTCATGAAAATATCCCTGCTAACATAAATGAGTGGAAAAAAATATAGAACATATGGTCTAGATGCATCTCAACAGAATGTTTTTTCCAAGCTTCCCATGAGTAGGCCTGCCCTGTGTTTTGAAATACGTTGTGTTGCCAAACTGCCATCCAAAAATTAGAGATGGGTCAGAACCGAAGCTCTGGATCTCAGCAGCCTGGAGCTTTAGGGAAGCTTGAATCTGAAATTCCTGATTGCCCCCGATCTCTGCAGTGGGCTAAATCAGACCCCCGAGTTTGCATAGTCTCAGATTTCAGAGCAGTTTGGATCCAGATCTGAATTCTGCAGCTAGGGCTCATCTGTACTGGAAAATACAGAAAACGCTGAAAGACTTTCTTCGTTGCTACAGGGAGCTGCTGAATTCTGCCCAGGGGAGTTCAGCCGCTGTGCACATGGAACATCAGGATGAATGGACAGTTTCGGGTTCTTTAAGCAACTGGTCTGGGGGAAGCGTCCGTCTGTAAGAAGCCCTTCCTTCCCAGTTCTCCTGTTTGATTTCCATGTGCCCTTCTCCTGCCCTAATTTTGCATCTTCTAATGGTAGGAGGTGTCTCCAACTCTGCAGCTGATACTTACTGTGACTCCTATTCAGACTGTTTTTTTTTTTTTTTTTTTTTTTAGCTTCTCATGTTCCTTGTGATGAGATACCACCCCACCCCCCCGGCCGGGGTGCAGCCTGGGACTGTGGGACACGCCCCCTTAATTTCCCAGCCTGGGCTGTCTCTCACAATGCCTTGCTAGTGACCAGCAGCAAACCCCTCCAGGGGCTGTTTTCACTCAGCACAACTGCATATGGAGCCTCACACCCAGCTAGATTGCATGAATGCTCCCAGAGCCACTCGTGAATCACACAGAGAAAGGCACCAGAGCCAAACCGTCCCAGCATTGTACCCCAGGAATACACTGTCTTGCTCTGCTTCAGACGAGCCGTGCAAACTGCTTTATGGGTTCACCACTTCATCACTGGAAAGTAGATATACACCAGCCTTTGCTAAATCTGAGCAGATTTGCCACACACACCAAGCAAACTCGCTGGTAAAGATAAACAGTTAAACAAGTTAATGGACTACAAACAATAGATGTTAAGTGATAGGCAAAAAGTCAGGTAGTTACCAAAATAAAATATAAGCACGCAGTCTAAACTCTCAACCCTTTCAGGCTGAGCAACAACTAGACTCAGCAGGTTTTCTCACCCCACTGGATATTGCAGTTCATAGTACGCAGATGTCACCCTTGAAATCTGGGCCAGTCTCCTCTGCTGGAGTCTTCAGAGTGTCCTTGTTGCTTGCAGCGTAGGTGGATGAAGGGAAAAGGCCAAGCATGTGGCCACTGTCTGTTTTATGCTTGGAAAACACAGGTCCAAGCACGTCTGGGTGCATTGTTGAGTCTCCAGCAAGGTTGAGAAATTCCCCTGGTGTGGCCTCATGCAGGTGTGTCATTGCGTCATAGTTCCCTTGCTGGACAATGGTTGTTGATGGGTTGATTGACACTCTGCCTGGGTGTTGCCTACTTTCCTTGCTGTTGCCTCAGGGGAGCTAATATCTAGCTATTCCCCAACGTGCAGCATGTTTTAATGACCACCATACAACACAATTCTTGTAACTTCATATGCATTAATGATATATATATATAAAGTCAGAGAAATGACTTTCAGCAGATCAGACCCTTTCCCCTGATACCTTACAAGGCATGCTTTATATGTAAGATCACGATTATATGAAAATGTAGAATATCGGGGTTCCAGGATGCTCCCCCAAGGAATAGAATGTCAGATTCCTAATGTCCAGAAACTCTCCTGAGCCTTCAGAGCTCTTGGTTTGTTTTGAGACTTCCAAGTTTAGCTGATGCTACTCAGGAGTCCGTGTCAGGAGTGACCCCTAGTTTGTCTCCTATTCTGCTCATGGGGCAGGTTCCTGTGTTTGGCTGGGGAATCCCACCATTGCAGTGCTAAGTTAGAACCCTCTGAAAATGGCACCGGGTTTTGTGGCTGTTGGAGGGACAGGGAAAGGAGAAGGAACTGGTAACATCAGGGTCCCATTTCCTTCCGGACTCTCATTTTATTTTCCCTTGTGAGGCACTTGGGAGATTCATTGTGGGCCAGTTTGCATGCAGAATCCCTGGGACAATCTGAACCTCTTGCATGATAACACCATCTATGGTCAAAGTTTGCCTGCTGGGACTGGAAAGGCAAATGCCAAGACTACGATTAAAATGTCTAATTCTAGAGGCTCACTGAGACTGCTTTATATTTAATTGCCCTGGTTTTTCTTGGGATCATTTTCAGATAAGTACCAATCATCTTCCCTTCTCTTCCCCCCCAACCCCCACCATTTTCCACTAAATTTTATCTTGTCATTTCTTCCCCCACTCCCCCCGCCGTCCTCTCACTGGTTTTTTGGAATGACGCCTTTATGGCTTAGTTTGGAAGGGAGGATGGAAAGTTATTTTCAACCCCCAAATTAGAAACAGAATTAGATTTTGTGTTGCATTTTGGAAGAGCCCTCACCGAGGAGGAGCAAGCATTATAAAAAAAGAAAAAAAAAAAAGTCTATCTTGACTCCTGAGACCTCTGTAAGGGATCTGATCCTGGGAAGTGCCTAGCACCCATAAACTTACTGGCATCTGTGCTGAGAATGTTTCCAGGGAGTGCCTGGCACCTGGAGGAATTGAGCCCTACCTGACCTCTGAGCGCTTTCCCTCTCCCTGCCGCAAATGAAAGTGCCTGCAACAGAGCCCCAAAGCTCTCCCACTCTCCTGAAGCTGTAAGCTCATCACTGTAGCAACCATCACTGCTACAAATTGAAATGAGGAGACAGGCACTCCTGCAGGCGGCAACCCTCTTCTGTCATTTACAAACATGCCATCATTAGGGGGGTGAGCCAATTAAAGCAATTAAGAAGCTTCAAGGCAAGCGACCACTATTTCATTCCAGCACCACAGACTGCTTTGCCATAGAGCTCCGAGCACTGATGTCCTGCTTTTGATGGATGTATGTGTGCGCGCGTGGAGGTGCATTTTGGTCCTGTAGGGTGACACAGCCTGGATTATTGATTATTTGACTGGATTATTCAGTGGGCAGAGAGAGAAGGAACAGAAGTGATCTCGGCCAAATAGGAACCTGTCCACATATATTTGACAGTGTTGTGTTGGATGAAAATGGGTTGGCTGTAGAAGTTTTGTTTGCAACATCTTTCTGTTTCCAAAAAAACTTGAAACAGTAGGGGAGGAGGGAAAGGAAATGCTGGAGAGCGGGTTGGTTTTGTGTTTGAAGAAGTCCAGGCATGAAAAGAACTTCCGTTTGAAATGGAATTTTTCAAAACGCAACAATTTTATTTTCCACTTCAATTTATTTAATTAAAAGTGAGAAATTTCAAATGAAATGAAAACTGTGTATTTTCTCTCAATCTTTCATGGTAAAAATCAACCCCGTTTCAACTAGCTCTGCTTCCAAATGTCACTTTCCCCTTGCACCCTTTCAGCAGCAGACAGGATCCGCAGAGATGCTGGAAAGGCAGAGAGGACTGTAGAAACAGCAGCCCTACAAGAGCTCTTGTGCAACAGCGCTTCTCCTTCTCCGCATGTCTGCACGCCTCGGAGCCTGAGCCGCAGCAACCAAGGTGTGGCGCCCTGATGGCTGCTGCAAAGGAGCTGTGCAATAGCTTCCATTCCAGTGCCGCACTGACACCGTTAAAGCTGCTCCTTTTGGGCTGTGGGCCATTTCAGTCTCTTGGCCACGTCTCTCAATCCCTTCCCTCAGTCGGACAGCCACGGTGCCTGCTCAAAAGGCCTATGTTCTTTTGGGCAACTCCTTCCACTCCTGGGTCTCAAACCCTGGCTCTGAATGGTGAGCAGATGATCCTGGGCAACTTTTCATCTGGCACATTGCTTTCTGCCTTCAAACACACACGTGCCTTCCTCCTGGAGGTCGGGTGCCATTTGCTCTTCTGATCTGGTAAGGCCGTGAGCAACCTTGAGATTCTACTTGGCCAAGATGGCCATAGAAGAAACACCGCTTCAGACAACGTGTGTCCTCCAACAAACAAAGGGGTGGAAGCTTTGCTCATGTGAGCCATGAGAAAAAATGATTCTGTTGGAGGAGGGGATTGCAGTTCAGATCCACACCTTATTCCCTGTATGGGCGTTTAGTTGTGGTGGCATTGCTAATACTTGCTCTCTGAACAGCTACAATGCCGCCTTTCCTGTAGCATGACCACCCATCCTGTTAATAGATGTCCCTTATGTAGTGCTTACCAACCCATTATCTGTACCCAATAAGGAGTGGCCAGGGAGTGTTGATTCAGATTATAAAGTCTGTTTCTAAGCTACTGTATAACGGTCAGAGGCTGATAAAATTGTAGCTGTGTGTGTAGGGGTGTCTCATTAGGAAAAAAACGGGTCTCATTTTCCTGCAGATACGTTCCAGATGGTCACTCTACTGCCTTGCTCGCCCTAAGCAGTACACTTTGTATATTGACTGTATTTGCAGCTCCCAGCAGCGTTCTCCCTACTCCATCCAGGTCTCCACTACAGACCTATACCAGTATGACTTCTTCACTCGGAGGTGAAACCCCTGAGCAACACCGTCATACCTACCTAACCCCCCGTGTAGACAGTGCTATGCTGACAGGAGGGCTTCTCTGGTCAACAGAGCTATTGCCTCTTGGGGAGCTGGATTAACTATGGAGACAGGAGAAACTCCCCTGTTGGCATAGCAGCATCTTCACTTAAGCACTACGGGGGGCAGCTGCACCGATGCAGCGTTTTATGTGAGACCCGCTCTCAATCGCGGTGATGACCCTCAATCAGCATAGTACCGCCATGCAGGCCTCACAGCAGTGGGGCTTCCTCGAGCAGTGTCTGCTCCACCATGGATTGTCAGGGTTCCCTGGGTCAATTGGAAAGCTGCGCTCTCTTGGCCACCCCCTTGTAAGTACTTTTCTTAGCATTTGCTTCCCTCATTAGTTGAGGCTCAGAGTCTGGCCCTTGAAGGATTTCCACGGTAAGGGCCTGTCTTCACAGCTAATGAAGGTGCTTTTTAAACCTCAGAGTAACTAACACACCTCTGCTATCCTGAGCTAAAAACAGGGCAGATTAGGCACTCTGGTTTTATCATGAGGTTAAATTCCCCAAAGTCAAACTCTGGAGGGGTATAGGGCTGTTTACCTTGTACTAAAACTAGAGTGCCTGGCCTTCATGGTGGTTTCTGTACCTTGGGATAGCTTGTGTGTAAGTTACCATGAGGTAAAAAATACACCATTTAATCAATGCAGATAGGCCCTCAGAAATGGGGAAAAGCTCCATCTGGTGATCTGGTCCGTTCCCAGTCTCTACCAGTGCAGGACTGGTCCCTATAGTACAGTTCTCAAAACCTCTCCCCGACTATCACCATGGTACAGCAAATTTTTCAGGACACTTCCTCCCATCTAGCCAGAAAGTCGTTAGATGTTGGCCCTGACCCCTGAAACTTGGTTGTGATCCTCCCCCGCCCCTGGTCAAGAGCTCATGCTACAGTATTTTCCTCAGTGCATTTCTAGCTGTGCCATCCTGCCCATTGGCTTGTTATGGTAGGGGTTGTTTATGAGCACTAGGCTGCTGTCTTTATTTACATGGCTACATTAAAAGGACCACCTGCTGGTTAAAACACACAGAATTCTCCTTGCCGGTGTTATGAATAATGCCTGGCATGTTTAAAAAGGACAATTTCAAAACCCCAAATTGCTTCTTGCTTTTGGGGCTATTCTTACCCCCCTCCCCCAGTCTCTACTGGGCTTGTCACTTTCACTTTTGTCTCAAGTCCATTTGGCTTCCTGGCTGTCATACACTAGCGCTCAGATAAAACTTGATCCTACACACAGTGAAGTCAATTGCAGAGCTCCCATTGACTTTAATGGCACAGGATCAGGGCCCTACTGAGGTGAAAGGTGTAATATGTCTACAGGAATATCCAATGCTGGAATGCTTAGCCTACAGACACGGCACAGGGAATGTTTAAATCAAACCAAAATCCGTTTTTTAAGGAGGCATGAAACCAACTCTATTAATAGTAACTGTGTGAGGAAATGTTTCTTAACACAGTCTTCAGGCTGAGTTCACACCATGTGCCAGGTGACAGCTTTTCTTTTTTTAAACCAGCCTAAAAACCAACTCCGTTATAAACTATTCTGGAGATCTGCAAACTGATAGGAGAGCCAAAGGGCAGCTCAAAGTCTCTGTCAAGGTGAAGCTCTGTATAAAATTCTGCTCAGGAAAGTTCTTCCTTCAGCTCGCCTTTCCCCTTTTCCCTCCAGGCTTTGTCCAAGAGTCAGAGCCCCAAGTGCTGTCTGGCCACGTCCAACGATAACAAGAACCAAAATGCCAAAAGTTTCATTTTTGCCTGTATATCCGAATGGACGGCCTGCTGGAGAGACAGGAAGCCGGTGTCCTGAGAGTCAGACATTCCTAGGATGTTGAAAAGGTCCAGCATTACCCCTTGAGGGGAAACAAAGTACCATGTAAGGGTTGGAGGGATCAGGCAGAGGGGTGCTGCTTCCAGAAATGACAAGTTTGTCCTCTCCAGCTCCTTTTTGCAGCACCTTCTGGTGTGGTGCGTAACTAAGGTCTGATCTGTACACCTTTATATAGGCATAAGCACCTTTATTCCAGCCTCACTGTCCATGCTCCAGGGGTTGTACGGCTCTGACCATACTGGTACAGTTAATGCAGTACACTGTTCTAGCATAGGCGAGGCCTGATTCTCTCCCACACATTCCCATGTCTGCGAGTCCAGCCTCAAGAGCTGATAAATGGTAACAGACCCCACGTCCACAGAGCTAAAACACTGGACTCTCAGCTCTAAAGGTTAAGCAAACTTGCCTTATACAAAGTACCATTGCATGCTTCCCAGCCTCCCTGAATATTTCATGCCCCAGGTGAGCATGTCTCTGCCTGTGGCTGGTGAACCGGCTGCCAGTAAAGCATTCCCTTCCCCTGAATATCCCCAGGGGGGAGCCCAGACAGCACAGCCTGGTTTGTTGTTGTTGTTTTTTTTAATTCTCCATTTCATGGGTAACGCTCTGTATGGAGGCTCCAAAAATAAGCCTATAGTTTAGATTTAATAAGACACTTATTGTATGCTAAATACCAATGGTGGATAGGAAACATGTGTACTGAGGATTAACAGCTGTGTAAGAGATAAAGGACAGAGTTAAACCTCAGAACAGCATGTTTCAAATAATCCATTGCTATTGCAATATGGTGCAATAACTATTGTAATAAACAGAACTGAACTCATTGGAAAAGACAGATACTGTATGTTCCAGATCACCCGGTTATTAACCTCTCTTAGTGACGTCACGCCATGAAAGGGAGCACTATCCAGGGTAAAGGAGCTGGACTGTTGCTCAGAAAAAGATCCATCCTTTTTGGTTTAATATTTGTAACGCATTTCTCTCCCCCCATACAAAAGAACGAACATGTCAGAACACCAAAGGTACATTCACTTTATTCAGAGAGGATGGTTAAGGCACTGGATCTAAATACTGGGGGCTCAAATTCCAACTCTGCCACAGACTTGGGCAAATCAGTTTAATTTTTTTGTGCCTCTGTTCCCTCTTTGTAAAATGGGGATCATATTCCCTTTCTTCAACCCTGTCTTGCCTGTTGAAACTGTAAGGTCTTCAGGGCAGAGACTCCCTTACTGTGTGTCTAGCACTGTGCGGGCCCTGATTCCAGTTGGGGCTTGTTGGCACTGCTCTAGTGCACACACGTATAGGCATGCACACCCACCCACCGCTGGGCCCCAAGCCTAGAGGCTGACCTGTGCAGGTGGACCTCTGGCCATGTACTTTGGGGCATAGTTTGCCCTTCTTAATAATTACTGGTCATAGTTCATTGTCTGTAGAAACAATGGGGAAAGAAGAGCCAAAGGGCGCTAAATGGCCTAACCCATTTCACGAGGTTCCACCTCATGTTTGTGAGGGGACTGTGTTTAATCTGTGGGTGGCATGGGAGTGCTTTTCCCATCCTGGAGGTGTTGTCTTTGTATGTAGCTGGGTGCTGGGAAGCCCCAAGGTGCTGGGGTGAATGCTGATCCAGTCTAGAGCCGGAGGCAGAAATAGCCTGCCCAAGTGAGCCATGTGGCATACAACACACTGCAATCCAGTAGACAAAGCCCTGTCTTCAGTCACTTATAACTCACTTCAAGTACAGCCTAAGGTGACATTTCTCATGTTTGTTCAAAAACGATTGGTGAATTCTGTGGGGCTGGCGGGCGGGGAATGTGAAGACCCCTGAGCTATTGGAGAGTGTAATAACTGCCCTTCACCTTTGTTAATTCAATACACCTCCCCCAAAGAGCAGCAAAGTGCCCTCGCCATATGCTGAGCTGCTTCCTCCTGCCCCAGCCAATGTCCCTTTCAATTTTAACTCCCTATCAGATGACTTTATTTTAAACAAGGGTTTCCCCCTTTCCCAGTCCATCTCCCCACCATGCACATGGTGGGGAAATAAGAGATCTGGGCTCTACAACAGCTCTACCATGTTCTGAGAGCCTTTGGTCACCCAAAGCTGCTCCCAGTGACCACAGGGCAGGAGAGGGCCCTGATCATCCACTCCCTCCAGTTGCAGAGTGTGGGTAACACATCCCTTCCTCACGGGGACTTGGGAGGCTTAGTTTGTTAATGTTGGGTAACATGCTTTGAGATCCTTGGCTGGAAGATGCAAGAGAAGGACAAAGGGGAGAGGGGCTGTGGTATTGGATCGCACTGTGACATCCTAATGCTGGTACCCTGACATC